TATAGTATAACAACTATTGATAATCTCCTACGTCTTTTGTTTGTAACTCACTATTATTTGTCTATTTGTTTTCCTGAGAAACTATCTTGTAGATAACAATATGTAAAACAGTAACCACTGATAATTTCCTACCACTTTGTCTATAATTTGGGAAGCCCCCCCCCCCCGCATTATTGTTATCCTTCTTTTACTCTTTAAAATTTAAAAAAAAAAAAAATTCCGCACCAAATTTCTCTTTCAGGCTGGCAATAAGGGGAAAGCACTCGTTTAACATGCACCAGCATGATTCCTAGCACCACAAAAAACCAAATAAATAATAAATAAAATGAGTGTTAATAAAAATAAAAGGAATCCACAGCCAAGTCAGTAATCCTTCTTTTTTCTTTTTCTTTTTTTTTTTTTTTTGGTTTTTTTCCCGGTACCGGGAATCGAACTCACGACCCTGCGCTTGTTAGGCAGGCGCTGAGTAATCTTTCTTTCTTGAGACTATCAAGTGAACCACAAAAGAGGCCTGATTTATAGGCTCTGCACAACCCCTCCCACCAAGAACTAATGACTGACTCCACACCTGGACCATCAGCCGTGTTTGTACCTGTCAGGGATGGTTCTAAGACACTCAGAAGGGGCCAGTCCCCGGGAGGACTGCGATAGCCAGTCCTCGGGGCTCACCTGTGTGCATATCATAGTCGCCCGGGTAAGCGTAGGGATCGTAAGCAGTCTAGAAGGAAAGAGACACAGTCAGAACATCACCAACTGCTAACCCGAAAGGCGCGTCCCAGCGCCTGGGTCAAGCAGAGGCTGCACAAAGGCAGATAAGACACAGTCCCCACCTTTGAGTGCACATGCCCGCGAGAAAAAGGCGCACAGCAATGACGAAACAGTATTATGGGTGCAACAAGAGCAAAATCCAAGAGGCTGTGGGTACCAACGAGTTTGGACCGGACGGAGCCCAGACCAAAAGAACTCAATGAAAAACACAGAACCCGCCTCCGTTCCGGTCTTAGGAAACGAGGGACAAGGGAACCCAGCTCGCGAAGCGGGCCGGCGGGCGGACACCGGATCCGGCGGGGCGGGCTCTGGGCAGCAGCACGAGGGCCGCAGAGAGGAGGCCGGGAACCGCCGCCGGCGGCCCGCGGAGGCTCCCGGAAAGGCCCGGACTCTATCTCACTCCCCGGCCCAGCATCCGCAGACCCTGATACCGATCGCCGGGCCCACCACACGCTTTTGGCCATATTACCTCGGACTCGTAGTCATCAGCCGGGTAAGACATGACTGCGGCGCTCCGGAACACCGCGGAAGAGAATAATTGGAGCGCTCTGCCCCTGACTCAAGAGACCGGAAGTTCTCTGCCCCTGTGAGCTGTCGGGAAACTGGAAGCCTTTGTGGGGCCACAGGCACACTGAAGCCGCCATGATAGGAAGGTCGAAAACTACAAATGAATGAGATTTTTCTTCTTTCTTCAAACATAGCTCTTCCAAAGCATGTGACTCGATAATAATGGGTTAGATTCAGAAATAAGGACGTAAAATAATTCGGCAGAAAGAGTGGGCAAAGAGAAACCAGAAGGGATCCCACACAAAAGATGGCTGACAGCTTCCTCCCGCGGCCTCTTGCGTGATGGGAAATTGAGCTACAGGGTACTTAGTCTGGGGTTAACCAAGCCCAGCCATTCTTCGATTTTAGAGAACATGAACTTGTACCAAATATCTAGCAGATTGGGAGTTTCTTTCCCCTGTATCACTCTAATGCCATCCAGCCAGAGCATCCTCTTTAGAATCGCAGCACTGCTTTCCACATCCTTGTGGTGGGCTCCTGCTGTGTGTTCTTCCTTCGCAGTACACCCTCCAGTGATGCTGTCATGAAGCTAACGGAGTTGAAGCTTTAGGGTCCTGGATACCCTGGCTTTCCTTGACCCAGAGAGGGTCTTCAGTAGTGTGTTTACATAGTCATAGTGTTAGCCGGGCGTGGTGGCGCACTCCTGTAATCCCAGCACTCGGGAGGCTGAGGCAGGAGAATCGTTGTGAGTTTGAGACCAACCTGGGCTACAAAGTGAGCTCAAGGCCAGCCTGAACTGCATAGTGAGACCCTGCCTCAAAAAGACCAAAAAAAAAAAAAAAAAGGGGGGGGGTGGTTGGGGATTTAGCTCAGCAGCAGAGCGCCTGCCTGGCAAGCGCAAGGTCATGAGTTCAATTCCTCATACCGGAAGAAAAAAAAAAAATAAGGGAAAGAAGTGGCCAATTTCTCTGAATGTTTCGGGGCTGGGGATTTAGCTCAGGGGCACAGCACCTGCCTGGCAAGCGCAAAGTCGTGAGTCCGATTCCTGGTACTGGAAAACAAAACAAAACAAAACAAAAAAAAGATCCTGTATCTTCAAAACAAAACAAAACACCAATGAGGTAGCAGGCTGTCTCTTGACCACACCTTCAACTGTATCTTTTTTTTTGGAGACAGGGTCCAGGATGGCCTTGAACTCACTATTTAGCCCAGCCAGGCCTCAACCTGTGGTGATCCTCCTGCCTCAGCCTCCAAAATGCTGGGGTTACAGGAATGTGCCACCACACCTGGCTTCAAATTCAGAGGTTTTGGATGCTCCCATCTTGGTAGACCATATGCCTCAAAGACCAGATCCACCAGTAAGAGGATGGGAACACTGAAAAAGGTAAGTGGTTCAAATTCCCAAGGGTCATGACAGCCAGAAGAAACTGAAGTCCACCATTAACTCAATGGGCCGCTACAACTAAAGAGGTTGAGAGAGTTTGCTGCAGACAGTGTATACACCTTGGATCCCATGAAAAGAAACTAGAGCAATGAAGACGATTTGGGAGCTGATTGCACAGAAACAGAGGAATGAAGAGCTGGGGATTCAGCTCAGCAGCAAAGTGCCTGCCTGACAAGCACAAGGTCGTGAGTTCGATTCCTGGTACCGGAAGAAAAAAAAAAAAAAAGACGAATGAGTACTAGAACTGTTTCAGGGTGCTGTCGGTAGTAGTTAGGTGGAGATGCTCCATGATGCTAGGATTCTCTGGAGCCAGGTTTCCAGCAGGTTTTTATTTAGGACAGTGGTATGGCAGAGAGGACAGGACTGGGTTCAAATCCCATATCCTGGCCTCTTTTCCCCCAGTATAAGCCAGGGCCTCAATATATGGTAGGAAGTGCTGTATCACTGAGCTACACATCATCCTTTTTTCTATTTTATTTTGAAACAGCATTGTGCTAAGTTGTACAAGCTGGCCTTGAATTTGCAATGCTCCTGCCTCAGCCTCACAAGTAGCTAGGATTACAGATATATACCACTCAGTTCTCTGACTTTCTACATCTATAGCCTTGGACAAATTGTATAACATCTCAGAGCCTCAAGTTTCCTGATCTGCAAGGAAGGCATAATAATACCTACTGCTGGGCTGGGGGTGTAGCTCAGTGTTAAGAGGGTTTTCCAGTAGCATTAGGCTCTAGAATTGAGCCCCAGCACTGAAAATTTAAAAATTAATTACCTGATTGATTAACCTGCTAAGGCTCTGTGAGGGAGAGTTACATGATGTAAGATACACCACACCCTTATTAAATCATACATGTTCAATGTTTGTTTCTCTGCTCTGTTTCTTTCTAGCTAAAAGTGGAGTTGGCGTATGTCCTAATAGAGGTTATGGGGCGGGGGAGAAAGGTTGAGATCAACCTTAGCATTTTTCTCCATATTGACAATAACAATCCTCACAATGGAGTTTTGTAAATGCTACAAAATCTGGAAGTGCTCTTCCAACTGTCAGCGAAAGATGACATTTTAACTATGTTGGGTGAGAGGTTTTTCTGAATGGGAAGAGCTGTGGAGTATATAGATTTCTGTTTGTCAAGGAAAAAATAAAAAGACTATCCCGTGAGAGATGGACAGCTGTGAACAAGTCCCTTATCTCTCTGGCTTCAGCTCCTCATCTGTAAAACAGGAATGGTCTTGTCTACTTTATACAAATGTTTATGGGGTTCGGGGTTGTGAGAAGTGCCCTGGGGGAGATGTCGTTAAGATCACCCTTAACTGGCCGGGCGTGGTGCCGCATGCCTATAACCCCTGCACTCGAGAGGCTGAGGCAGGAGGATCATTGCGAGTTCGAGGCCAGCCTGGGCTACAAAGTGAGCTCAAGGCCAGCCTGAGCTGCATAGCGAGACCTTGTCTTAAAAATAAAAAAAATAATAATAATAAAAAAAAAAGATCACCCTTAACTGCTCTGCGGAACACCCGTTTCTGGGTCTGACTTCTGCGGGGAACAGTAAGCGCCTCAGGGGCGCCCAGTCTGATGCAGTGTGCTGAGCTGCCTGGCTCACTGGCTCTCGGACTGACGTGTTGCTCTGATGTAATTACGTCAATTATAATTTCTTGCGAAACAGTGATCCATGCCGGGATTACCAAGAAAACCCTGACGAAAGAAACTCTGTTGCACTTTGAATCTATTACTGCACAGTTCCTAGTGACATCTCTAAATTTTAATACATTTTCCTCTTCCTAGTTACATTAGGTCTTTTGTGGGAAGTTAATTTTTTCCACGCATTGACTTAAAATGTATGCATAGCCACACGTAGTATGGCTTCTTCACTTTCCTCCGTGATTGGCTGCAGATTATCTTAATATGATTGGTTAAAGCACCTGCCCGTCATCTTTCCCATGATCCGACGGGGAAAACGGAAAAGAGAGGGTCTGCTGTTTTATTGGCTCCGGTATGGAGACATAGGGTGGGGCGTGGGCGCTACCAATTTGTGATCGGTTTCCCGGTCCGTCAGTCACGCTGCTGCAAACTCTGCCCAATTGTTTTGCTCGTACTATACTGTCGTACTATAGTGTCCTTTCCAGATTGGCTCTAGGGTGCGGACTGAAGTGGTCGTTATTGGTCGCGACGCTGTAGCTCGCCGCACGAGCTCACCCCCCTCCCGCTCGGTTGCCGTGGTTGCAGGCCCGGCCCGCCCGCTTGCCCGTTGACAGCGAGACTTATCGCCGAGGAAAGTGGGTCCGTTGGTCGGCGGGGAACCAGGCTGCAGCGGCCCGGCCCACGCGGAGACGTTGCCATGGCAGCCGCCGCCGGGGGCGCGGACGAGGAGCCGCGCTCGGGCCGCTCGAGCTCGGACGGCGAGTGCGCGGTGGCGCCCGAGCGGCTGACGGAGGCCGAGGGACTCTTCTCCTTCGCGGATTTCGGGTCCGCGCTGAGTGGCGCCGCGGGCCTGCCGCGCCGGGGGTCGGGAGGGGCCCAGTCCCCGCTGCGCTACCTCCACGTCCTGTGGCAGCGCGACGCCGAGCCGCGCGACGAGCTGCGTTGCAAGATCCCCGCCGGGCGGCTCCGGCGCGCGGCCAGGCCCCACCGCCGGCTCGGGCCCACGGGCAAGGAGGTGCACGGTGAGCCGCCCGCGCCGCCCGGCGGGGACAGCAGTTACTGTGATGGCTGCGGGGGACCGTGCATGTTTTCAAAAAAGTCTTCCTGCTCGGAGTCAGTCTTTCCAGGCTGCTCTGACTTAGTGATTCCTGAGCAGAAACTCCGTGGCTGCAGTGTTTATTTATCTAGAGATAGTAACACGGGGTAGGGAGAGAAGGGAGGCCGGAGTCTGTAGCTAGTTAGTTGTGCCAACTTAAAATGCACTCCTGAACTGGACTGCTCTATCACACTTAGCCCATAGGTGAACTATAAGTCCTTTGAGGCTTAGTTTTCCAGCTGTAAAATGGGTACAAGTATCTGGTTTAGGGGAATATTTTAAGAAGTAACGTAATGAATGTACGGCTACTTTTTTTAAAAAAGATGTTTTTAGTACTGTACTTGTTTGCAGTACATAACGATTGCATGCCTAAGGCCAGGCGTGATGGTGCACGCCTGTAATCCCAGCACTCTGGAGGCTGAGGCAGGAGGATCATTGTGAGTTTGAGGCCAACCTGGGCTACAAAGTGAGCTCAAGGCCAGCCTGAACTGCATAGCGAGACCTTGTCTCAAAAAGACGAAAAAAAAAAAAAATAGATAAATTGCATTTCTAGTGGAGAGTTGGTAGCTGTACGTGACACATCTTAATTATTTCTTCATTCCCTCCCCACTCCCTTGTCTCTTGGTCCGCTTCCCATTTGCAGAAGCTAAATGCATAGCTGTCATCATGTGTTACCTGCTAAACACTGTTGGATGTTTGGTGATCTTCTTTGTTGTTGTTTGCTTTGATTTTTATTGTAAGAAAAAACACATTGTGATCAGAAATGGGTTTACAGCTTGTATAGAATTTGCTACAGAGAGAAATTGGTGCTAACCCTGCCTACATTGTTGTGACCTAGTCTAGTGATTACTGTTTCACTGTTTTTATTGTTATTTTGTGTTTTTTGAGACAAGGTCTCCTTGTTGTGTACTTCAGGCTGGACTTGAGTATACTGTGTAACCCATGCAGCCTTAAACTGAAGGCATCCTCCTGCCTCAGCCTCCAGAGTGCTGGGATTACCGATGTGTGCCACCACTCCTATCTAGTGATTACTGTTTGAGCCTCTTGACTTTCATATGTCTTAGAGAGAGATCAGATCTCTTGTTTCAGATAAGGGGTCATTTGTAACCCTCACAAGAACTCAGAGCTGTAAAAATTGTTTCCATTTTACCGCCACCTGGAAAGTGGCAGTGCCTGTGTGGGAGCACAGGTCAGCCTCTTCCTCTGGCCTGTCTACCACATTGTCTTCCACATTTTATGGATGCCATGGAAACTGGCCTGGAAAGATCAAAGTGGCGACTCTTAGGGTCCCTTCTCAGACTAGCTATGATTCACCCCAAGTCTTAGTGGTATGGAGATGAGAGGAGAGTGTGACGGTGCTGTGTAAACTGTAAAGTATTATATGGATGTAAGGAACTGTTACATCTGAGATGCAGTTTTATAATCGTTTGTTGACTGACAAAGGTGTTGTTTATGGGTGTGGGCCCTGAGGATTGAACCCAGGGCCTTTGCACTGAGCTACATCCCTAGTCTTTTTTTTTTTTTTTTAAAGACAGGGTCTCACTAAGTCACTAAGTTGCCTAAACTGGGCTCGAACTTGCAATCCTCCTGCTTCAGCCTTCCAGAGTGTTGAAGATTATAGCCATGTATCGCATACCAGGCTAAAGGCATTACTTTCTATTAGCTTTTTTGTGTGCGTCAGGAATTGAACTCAGGGCCTCTCACTTGCTAAGCAGGCACTGTGCCCTATTAGCTTTAATATAGCAGAAGTATTATTGGAGAGGTGAAAAAAGGTTCTGCTTAGGAATTATCAAACGTAAGTAAAACTCACCTGGGAATGACCCATTTTAGAGGTCAGCTCACAGAGAACTTCCAGGTAAACCATCTCATTCTGTCTTTGCAACAACTTAGAGCTGGCAGAATAACCCAGCCTTGTTTTGCAGATGACAGCCCGAGGGCCAGGGATGTTAAGTTTTCTGTCTTGAGGGTGCCAGCTACTACAAGTGGCAGAAACAAGATCTGGCTCCAGAAATCAGATTTGCTACAGAAAGTGGCCCTTGTTCCGGCTGTGGCCCGGTTCAAGCTTCTCCTTGTTCCAGGAGTTCAAGTTTCTCATTGTCTTGTGTCCTGGCACCTTCATTTCCCTAGGTAGTCCCTGCAGGGTGGGAGCCAGGCATGTTCTGTTTCATCAGGGAGATGTTTTTAGAAAACTGGCCTCTTGTTCTCTTCCCAGCTCTGAAGAGGCTGAGGGACTCGGCCAATGCCAACGACGTAGAAACAGGTGAGTGTGCACAGTGGGCCCTGCCCCGGGATGCTGGGCTGGGGCAGATGTGGGGATCAGGTGACGAACACCACAAAGTCTGCCAGCTCCTGCTGCTTATACTCCCTGAAATGGCTCTCTTATACAGCATGATTCTTTATGGTGGCCCAGCATTTTTGCTTTTTTGTTTGTTTGTTCTTTGAGACAAGGGCTTGCTACATAGTTCAAGCTGATATTGAACTCACTGTATAGCCCAGGCTGGCCTCGCACTCACAGTGATCCTCCTGCCTCAGCCTGCTAAGTGCTGGAATTATAGGCAAGGGCCACTGTGTCTGGCTTTGTGATGGTCCTGACTCTGCAGTCGTCTTGCAGGGGGTGAATCAGGCCTAGGTCCTCAGCGCCTGTGCTCCCCTGTGCCCCTCAGCCTCCAGAGCCACAGCAGTCCACATCCTGTGGGCTCCCTGGTCATGCCGGGCACTGCGTGACTGCATCTGCCTTCAGGTCCCTGGTACCGGCATCGCTGTCCGAAGAGAGCAGGGTGGCTCTCCCTCGAGCACCGGTGGCTAACGGTGACACGTGCACTCACTGCCAGGTGATATCCGCCATGTCCGGCTGCTTGGTGACACTGTGGTCTCCAGGGCAGGTGGCTCTTGAGCTTGTTTATGTCATGGAGCCTCGCCGAGTCTGGGCTGTGCTCGTCGAGGGACGCTGGCTGGTTTTGTGCTGCTGCTCTCCTGATGGGGCAATAGGAGTACCAAAGGGACAAGGACAGGTTCCAGGACAAAAAAAAAAAAATGTAATTTCACCCACTGACTTAATGCTTCCTGTGAGTCAGGGGAAAGTGGTGTGTTAGCTTCCTATGGCTGCTTTCACTGATTACCCCAAATTAGGGGCCTCAGTAACATGAGTAGGAGCCAACCCAGGTCTCGCTAACCAAGTCTCACCACCACCCACTGCCCCCGGGTGGCAGGCTTTCGTTTTGGACGATCTGGGGAGAATGTCTATTCCCCCAGCTTTCTGAGATGCTACCCACATTCAGTCCAGGGGCGGTGGGCTGAGTCTCTCCCTCCGTCCTTGCCATTTCTCTGTTCTGTTTTATTTATTTAGTTTTTGGCTTTTTGAATTTTCTTTATGGGTTTATAAGCTGCAGTGTACCCATGGTATAGCCCACATACTATTTTGTGTATTATGAATGTTTTATATACTCTGTGGAACCATTTTTTCCAAGATAGATTCATCATTTTTCCTGATTTATAGACTGACTGTGTGGTTCTTCTAAAACTTACAAGGTCAAAATAAAAAATCAAAGCCAGGCCAATGATGTACATCTATAGTCCCAGCTATCTGGGAGGCTGAGACAAGAGGATCCCTTGAGCCCAGAAGTGAAGACTAGCCTGAGCACATAGTAAGACCCCATGTCAGGAAAAAGCTACACATCTCTTTGTAATTCCATTTCCCAATTTAAACGATGATTTTCTTTTTTTTTTTTTCTTTTTGGTGCTGGAGATTGAAACCAAGGCTCGGTCTATGCTAGGTGAGCCATTTCCTGCTGAGCAGCCACCCTCGCCCCATAACTACAGCTTCTATTTTTTTTATTTTTTTATTTTTTTCCGGTATCGGGAATCGAACTCATGACCTCGCGCTTGCCAGGCAGGGGCTGTGCCGCTGAGCTAAATCCCCAGCCCAACTACAGCTTTTAATGGGCGCACTCGAGCCCTGCAAAGGCACAAACCGTGAGTTATTTAGCGTCATATTTTCATTTTCAAGGTCACTTCCTGGCTACAGAATTGTCACATCAAAGGGGATGTGTGTTTCTCATGGCTCCTGGTAGAGGCAGCTAAAGTACTTTCTATGAAGGCTGTAATTGCACAAATCACAGAACCAGAGTGGTCTGTTTCGCTCTGTTGTACCTTAGTGATGCTGGTTCTCTTTTGGCAAATGTCCTTGTGCACCGTGACCCAGAGCTCTTGCTTTTCCTTCGCTGACCCCGTGAGCCCTGCCCTGACCCACTCCGCCCCTTGCACAATGCTGACAAAGCCAGCCTTACTCGCCGGACACCGTGCTTGATACCAAAGGAAGAAACCTTTAACAACTGGAGAAGAAGATGCCGCCTCCAAAACAAAAACTAAGACACAAGAAACTAAGATGATGTGTTCAGTAGGAGAGATATAATTTCTGGAGTGAAAAAGCCTAGGTTAAAGCCAGGTGTTGGCCGGGCGTGGTGGCACGTGCTTGTAATCCCAGCACTGGGGAGGCTGAGGCAGGAGAATCTGTTGCAAGTTCAAGATCAACTTGGGCTACAAAGTGAGCTCAAGGCCAGCCTGAACTGCATAGGGAGACCCTGTCTCAAAAAGACAAAAAAAAAAAGAGACTGAAAGCTGCTGATGTGAGAACGATATTTGGCAGCAATTTTCCCCCTCATAGCTGTCAGCTGGCCGCGGACATCAGTGTGCAACGCCTCCCATTTCCAGTGCCTGCAGACTCCGAAGAAGGAGGAATTTCACATCCATTAAGGAATTTCACATCCATTACTCGCTGTGCGACTCTGGATTCTGCCCATTTGTGGTGCCCTGAGGCTCGAATCCAGCCCCCCGCCCTCGGCCCAGCTCCTCACTCCCGGCTCTTGGCAGTGGACTCCTTTATTTCTGAAGTAGTTCAGCCTGAGGTCTAGTCCGCGTGTCCCTAGAACCTGCTGCAGAAGGCTGTCTCCTGGGGGCCAAGTCAGCATCGGCCACTGGTGAGAGAAGCTGTGTGCAGCTGGAATGGATGTGGATCCAAGCTGGAAGGACAAAGCCAGAGTCTATGGAGGGGCCAGTCTCTCTCTCTCTGCCTGCCTTCTGTCCTGTCCTCTCCCCTCCTCCCCCTCCCCTCCCCTCCCCTCCCCTCCTTTCTTCTCCTTTTTCTTTTCCAGTTTTCAGGTTTTTGAGACAGGGCCTCGCTATGTAGCCCTGGCTAGCTTTGAACTCACTATGTAGCCCAGGATGGCCTTGAACTTGCTGTAGTCCTCAGTTGTACCCCTCAGGGAACCAACCCCTTGTTGTGGCAGTGCCTGTGGGGACAGCATCTGGCACCAGCTCTCCCTGCTTGTGGACACCCGCTCTGGGACTCTGAGCTGCTGTCCATCCCCGGGGCCTGCACAGGGCCGACACTGCCGCTTGCTCACCTCCCTCTCTCCTCCTTGGTGCCGTCAGTGCAGCAGCTGCTGGACGATGGGGCGGACCCCTGCGCAGCGGACGACAAGGGCCGCACCGCTCTCCACTTTGCCTCCTGCAACGGCAATGACCAGATCGGTGAGCCCTGGGAGGGGCCGGGGGCGGGGCGGGGCTTCGAGGCCTGCAGATTCCCGGGGGCTGCATCTCAGGGAGACTTGGCACCGAGGTACCCTAGCCCCTGGCCTGAGGAGCCGGCCTGCCAGGCAGGGAAGGGCTGAGCTGGGGAGAGCGTGTGAGGGACTCCACAGGCCAAGGAAGCCTGCAGTGAGGAGCAGGCATGGGGAAGAACGGGCACAGACTTCTAGACACTCGGCAGTGCCAGGCACAGTGCAGGGCAGCGTCCTGTTACGTTATATTGTGGTGTAACTAGCCAGGTGTGGTGCATGCCTGTGATCCCAGCACTCGGGAGGCTGAAGCAGGAGGATTGCTGGGAGTTCAAGGCCAGCGTGAGCTGCATAGCACAATCCTGTCTCAAAAACACAAAAAATTTTTTTTAAAAATTGTGATGTAACTTCAGTGAACCGTGCGCATCTACATTCCTGGCCCACATGGACGCCCTCTCCCGATCCCAGCAGCTGTCCGCCCCAGGCTGTCTTGCCATCTGGACCTTGTGCACCATGGCCCAGGGGGCCTGCTTTCGGGTTTCACATCGATGGAAGCGCATCACCTGTGCTCCTTTGTGCACACTCTTCCTTCAGTTCTGTGTTGTTGATGTTCAGTCCTGGGGATTGGACTTGGGCCTTGTGCATACTAGGCAAGCTCTGGACCTCTGAGCTACACCCCCGGCCTTTTATTTTATTCTGAGACAGGGTCTCACTAAGTTCCCCAGGCTGAACTTGAACTTGCCACTCGCCTGCCTCAGCCTCCTGAGTTCTGGGACTACAGACATGCACCACCATGCCCGGCTTGCCCATCCTACTTTTGAGGGGCATTTGTGTTGCTCCAGGCTTGGGCCAGTGTGAGAAATGAATAATGCAGCGTGAATGTTCTCATGCTGGTGCATTTGTGGCTGTAAACACTCACCTGTGTGTGAGCCCAGGAGTGGGGCTGTTGGTTACCAGGGTACAACCAAACTTTGTCTGAGTTTCCACTCCCACCCCTCAGCAGTACACGAGGGTCCCACGTTGTCCCCTGCCCTTGCCCGTGGAGTAGGGTTTCTCTTCAATTTTAGCTGGTCTGAAGCATCCCATGTGCCTTAGCTCACATTTTTCTGCTGGCCAGTGAGATTAGCACTTCTTCCTGTGTTTACTGGCCATTTTTACGTCCCCTTTTGCAAAGTATCTGTGCAAGGTATGTGGGGGTAGTCCATTTTTCTAAACATGCTGTCTTACTGAGTTGTAGGAATTCCTTTTTTTGAGACAGGGTCTCACCATGTAGTCAGGCTGGCCCTGAACTTACTGTATATCGTAGGCTGGCTTCAAACTCACAATCCTCCTATCCCAAGTGCTGGAATTACAGCTGTGTGCATGCCAGGCATGGTGGCACACATCTATAATCCCAGCACTTTGGAGGTTGAGGCAGGAGGATCACTCATTGCAAGTTCAAAACCAGCCTGGGCTATATAGTAACTTCAAGGCCAGTCTGAACTGCATAGTGAAATCCTGTCTCAAAAAAAAATACACACAAACAACAACAAAAAAACTTGTACAGGTATGTGCCACTATTGCTGGCTATAAGAATTCTTCATCATTTGGGACACAAATCATTTACTGATTATACCTGACTTGACTTTTTGGCCTTCCTTTGCACTCTAAGTGGTACCTTTTAATGAACATAAATCCCTAACTTTTTTTAAATTCCTAATTTTAATGCATTTAGTTTATGAATCTTTTCTTTTGCATGGTTGGTGTTTTTGTGACTGCATATGAAATCTCTGCCTGGCCCACAGTCGTGAAGATGTTCTCCTGGTTTTTTTCTAGAAGTCTGACAGTTTCAGCTTTCACACTTACGTCTATGATCATTCCAGAATTAGCTGCTATGGATGCTGTGAGGTTCAGCTTCCCCATGCAGTGTCCTGGACCCAGGTTGGCTCACCTGTGCATCCAGATGGGTGACTGGCAAACCCTGGCAGTACCACAGCCCACCCCCATGGGCCCCAGTGATGGTCAAGGAGAAGGAGGTTTTTTATGGAGCTCAGCATCGTCTGCTGGCCTCATTCACACTGTGGCACTTGGCTGTGGGAAGAGCAGGAGGTGCCCTTAGAAGCCTTCACTAGCATTTGCTTAATTCTTAATACCTCAGTCACAAAGGGCGTAGTGATGGACACCTGTAATCCCAGCTGCTTGGAAGGCTGAGGCAAGAGGATCTCAAATTTGAGGCCAGCCTGGGCAATTTAGTGAGACATTATCTCAAAATGATAACATTTTTCAGGCCAGGGATTTAGCTCAGTGACACAGTGCCTGCCTGGCAAGCATGAGGTCTGGAGTTGGATCCCCAGTACACCCCCCAAAAAAATAATAGTAATACATTTTTAAGAGGGCTGGACATGTAGCTCAGTGATAGAGTGCCCCTGGGTTCAAGTCCCAGTACCACGAAAAGAAAAATAAAAAAATAAAGAGAAAGAAGGAAACCTCAGTTGCATAGCACTTACCTGGGCCAAGAGAGCCTCCTGGAGCCCTCCGCTCCTGGCCACGGGGTCCTGCACATGCGCCCTGTGGGATGACGGGTGAGTGAGGGAATGAAACAACACAAGCAGTACCATCTTGGCATTCAGCACCCGCACTCTGAGCGAGCCTCCGGCTAGACAAGGCTGTGGGGCCACACGCAGGCAGCATCTGATGGTGCCTCCTGGGCTTTCCTGTTTCAGTGCAGCTGCTCCTGGACCACGGGGCCGACCCCAACCAGCGCGATGGGCTGGGGAACACACCGCTGCATCTGGGTGAGTGCCTGGAGGTCCCCTGGACCCTCTGCAGCATTGGCAGGCGTGGCAGATGGGAGCCTGGGGTCCTGCTGGCTCCCAGCAGCGTCTCCCAGCACACGGGCAGGTCCTGAGCCCCGGGCCATGCTCCCAGCCGCCTGTGTGTATGGACACTCGGTCACCCAGCATTGGGCCGCTCCCTCTGTACTGCGATTTCACAACTAGATCGGCTTTGCAGTGCCTCTTCCAGGAGCCATGGCTGTGAGGCCTTTGGCTGTTGCAGCTTCACCACTGGCTGACACTATGGCTTATAATGAGGCAGGTTCCAGCTCCAGGCCTCGGTTTCCCCAGCTGTAAAGGGGACTTAATGCTGCATTCTCCCAGCCGCTGCCCGGTGACAGTGACACCCTCTTGGGAAGCATCAGTTGGCCCCGGCACACTGGGACACAGCCCTGCTCCTCCTCCCGTTGGGCCTGGATTCTTAAGTCCCTGTTCTTGCTCCTCAGCGGCCTGCACCAACCATGTCCCTGTCATCACCACACTGCTGCGAGGAGGTACGAGGCCCCTTCCCTCCCTGCCTCCCTGCCCTCGCCCTCGTCCCCTGCGTGCTCACTGCCTGTTTCTGCAGGAGCCCGCGTGGACGCCCTGGACCGAGCAGGCCGCACGCCCCTGCACCTGGCCAAGTCCAAGCTGAACATCCTGCAGGAGGGCCACTCCCAGTGCCTGGAGGCCGTGCGGCTGGAGGTGAAGCAGGTGAGCAAAGCGGCCAGGCCAGCGCAGGGCAGGAGCCAGGCTCGCCACAGCCGTGTGCCCGAGCCCTCCCCGTGCACCCTGTCAGCCCCCTGGGCAGCTCAGCGCCCCTCTCGCTGCAGATCATCCACATGCTGCGGGAGTACCTGGAGCGCCTGGGGCGGCACGAGCAGCGGGAGCGGCTGGACGACCTCTGTACCCGCCTCCAGATGACCAGCACCAAGGAGCAGGTGAGCCACGGATGCACAGCCGGATGCGCCACCAGAAGAGCCTGCATCTGTGCCCCCTCGCATGTCCTCTGAAGCCCCAGTGACCCAGCCCCCTGGTGTCCACTGTCCCGTGGTCAGAGAGATGCAGGCCGCTGCGTCCCCTGGGTGGAGGGGTGACGCCTGCATCCCATGCCTGTGGAGGGGAGGTGGAGGGACCTGGGCGCCCTGGCACCAGAAATAGAGCTCGGCTTTCGTCCTGCAGGTGGATGAAGTGACCGACCTGCTGGCCAGTTTCACGTCCCTCAGCTTGCAGATGCAGAGCATGGAGAAGAGGTAGCGAGAAAGTCTCCCTGCCTTCCCGCTTGGCCACCGCGCGTCCTCTGCTTCTCATGACAAAGGAAAAGCCCCGTGTCTGGGAGTTTGGGGCACACTTCCCTCGGATGCTGGGGAGCAGAGATGTACTGTCCGTGACCATGGCATTGCTCCCAGACACCACCTCTGCAGGCCCGGAGGGACCCGGCCACCTCAGCCGTGGCCCAGGTGCTGGCCCAGTGGCCCCACTCGTCCGTGGCCTCCCTTGCAGGCCCTAGCCCTTCTCTGTGTTCCTCCTGGCTGTGAGCTGGTTGCCATGAGCTGGCTCAGGATGGGCACCCTCAGCCCAGGGGCAGCGTGGCCTCTCGCCTGGCCTGCCCTTCTCACCAGCATGTAGGTTTAGGCCCATCCCCCGACTATCGCAGCAGCACATCAGTGAGTCTCTCTGCTTAGAAGGAGAGGCTTGGGGACACTCAAGCCTTACCAGGGGGCTGGGGATTTAGCTCAGCAGCACAGCGCCTGCCCAGCAAGCACAAGGTCCTGAGTTCGATTCCCGATACCAGAAGAAAAATAAAAGCCTTACCAGGGTTAGGAAGTCCCCAGCCCTTTCCTTCCAGCCGCAGGAGCACCAGGAGGTGGAGCCTTTTGCAGCTTTCACTGTCAGGCTGATAGCTGCCCGCCTGTGCCCGGTCCTCATCCCAGGAACCCGTGACCCTTACCTCATCTGACAAAGAGGTTCATGGATATAACAGGATTCTGAGGCAGATGACCCTGAATTAACTAGAGGGGCTGGATGTAATCAGGGATTTTTGTAAGGAAAGCCGGGGTGAGAGAAGTAGGAGGTGTGCTGATAGAAGCAGGAAGTTAGAGGGGAAGGAGCAGGAAGTCAAGGAAGAGGTCCAGAGCCAAGAATGCAGGCTGCCCGCCTCCATAAGCCGGAGGCAAGGAAAAGGCTTCTCTCGGAACTTCCAGGAGGCTCCGACACTGATGACTCCCCAGACTTAAGCTCGGTGAGACTGATTTCAGCTGCAAACCTCCAGAACTATCAGAGAATAAATCCGTGTAGCAACAGCCACTTTGTGATTTGCTGCTGCAGCCCCAGGAAACTAACAAAGCACTGGAGGCTCAAGGTCACCACAAGGTGTTAGTCCTGTCAGCAGCCTCAGCCCAGGCCCAGGAGCAGAAGTGCCCCCCTTGGCAGGGCTGTGCCTGGCCTGCCCCTCCTAGGAGTCTGACTACAGACTTCAGGGCCTCACGCTGTGTTCCCTGTGTGGCCCTGCCTCTTTCCCTCTCTCCAGCTGGGGAAGCCCTAGCCTGATTCAGAGGAGAGCCTGTCCTCAGGTCCCAGTTGGGTACACTTCAGGTCTTAAATAAACTCGGAGCCCCTAGGTTCTGGAGGAAAATAAGTGTGATATTCTAGCCCAAGGGCCAGGGATATAGCTCACAGGCACAGCACCTGCCTGGCAAGTGTGAGGTCCTGAGTTTGAGTTCCAGTACCCGCCCCCCAAAAAAGAACAAGATACCAGCCCAGCTGGTCATGGTGGTCATGCCCATAATCCCAGTACAGAGGAGGAGGAGGATCACTGTGAGTTGAGGCTAGCCCGGGCAACATAGTAAGTCCAAGGCCACCCTGAACTGCACAGTGAGACAGTGTTATCGAAGTAAAACATACTGGCACATCCTAGGGCTGGCTCTAGAACCGTGCAAGAAGGAAGCTCAAAGCCCCCCAGGTTGCTAGGGCTAGGAAGGCACAGTGCTGTGGAGTGTGGGGACCAGGGGTGCCCTGAAGAGGAGCTAGGGGGCACAGTGCAGTGGGAGCAGATTTCTTTCCCCCCTCCCTCTGGCCTGGTGGCTCAGCACCTTCTAGCTGCACCTGCAAGGTTTTCTGGGCTTGTGTTCTGTGGTGTTGGGGTGGGACCCAGTGGCTGGAGCACACTAGGCCAGCACCCCACCTCTGAGCTACACCTTAGTCCCGTTCAAGCTTTGGCTGCCTGACCCCTCAGTGCTGGATCACCATCTCCACCCCTGGGCCTTGGTCCCCGAGTGTGCCCTGGCACAAGCGCGGTATCCGTTGTCAACTCCCTGCGTGGCCATGCAGATGTGGACAGAGGGTTTGAGGTGGCTTGTAGGTCAGTCATCAAATGCTTGCCAGACAGCCGGGCAGCCAGCCAGTCTGATTCGCCCCATTTCCAGCCAAGATGTTTCCTGCAACCCCAAATCTGTCTGAAGAGCCAGTCAGATAAAATTGGCCCAGACATTAGAGTGAGTCAGAAAACACCCAAGTGGGCCCTGGTTGCTGGATGGACCGGCGCTGGAGAGAATTCAGCAGAGGTTCCCCTCGGGTTGCTTCTACTGCCATTGCTCCAGAAGCTGCTGGTATGTGGCAGACTGGGCAGACACAGGAAGGCGAATCCATAGATGTTGATTTCAGCGTCCAGATGTGGGGGGTTTTTGCATTGAGCTGTATACCCCCAGCACTTTTCAACAAATCACTAAAATTGCCCAGGCTGGGCTCAAACTTTTCGATCCCCATGCCTGAGCCTCTCAGAGTGCCAGGGTTACAGGCGTGAAGCTCTTTTGGTCACCTTTTGTTCTCCTGAGCAGCAGGCTTGCTTGACTGACACTTGTCCAGCTGGGCAGTGACCCGGGGCCCCTTGCTGCTGCTCCTGCTGGCATGGATGGGTGGGGGAGCAGGTTTTCTGGGGCTACTGGGCCTGGGAGCTGGGTCCACACCCAGCGCTCATGCTGTTTCCACCATTTCCTAACAGAGGGCCATGGTGTTTGCTGAGCACCTACTATGTGCCTGCAGGCCTCTGCTTTGGTGTTTGTAATAAAATGTCAGGTCGCCACTTTATGTATTGTTTCCTCTATTTTATAGATGTAGGAAACTGAGGCTCAGAAAGAGAAATCAGTTTGCTTGGGGATGGCTATATCTGGCTCAGGCTTACTCTCTGCCGGGTTTCCAGAACTGTCTCCAGTGCACCTGGGACACAGCTGGTAGGGACTGAATGGTTGCCAGTGGCTTTGTTCTCCTGGCAGGGGGCTCTGGCCCTTTCCTTGTGGAGCACACAATACAGTACGCTCGCGGGTGAGGTGTGTACCTGGTCACCTCGGGAAAGACAGGATGATGGGGCTGGGACGGATCTACAGTGGTCCTTGCTGACCTGTGGTGGCTGGGGAAGGGGAGGTCTGAGCCAGAGCTGAGGGCCACGGAGGGTGAGAGGCTGGCTAAAGGGGGAGATGGGTCCTGAGGTCTGGATTTGCCCTGGCAGGCATCAGAATCCTGCAAGACAAATGTCACCTCCACGCCAGGGGCCAGATGCATCTTTAGCCCATGGCAGACAGCAAGAATGGCCTCAGTCTGGGGTAAAACTTTTCTCGGAGAAATCCCCGTCCCCTCCCTGCTCCCCAGACTGGGTAAGATGCTGAGCCCAGACCAGTATCAGAAGGCCCCACTGAGTCCTCGGATAATCCCAACAAAGCCCTGGAGCCCAAAGGGAAGTCACAGGCCACAGCCCTAACACTGGACCTCAGGATCCGCAGGGAGGTGATGCTGTGTTCACCTTGCTCCTTAAGCAGCTCTGGAGGCCGAGGGCCTTGCCTGACAGACACCCCAGGTTAGGGCGCCAGGCTGGAGCATTCGGAGTCCCCGTGCTCAGAGCAGCCACTCTGGCTGACCCACGTGAGCCTGGCTTTGGATGTCAGGGAGGCGGCGGCAGTCGGTGCCCAGAGGGCAGAGGTGGATGAGCTGCACCTCGTGGCTGGATCTGAGGGCTTTGGTGAGCCAGCAGGGCGCCCCAGGGTAGATGTGTCCAGACGCATCCCCTGCCTCAGACAGGACCTGTCAGCTTGCTTCTGCAGGTCACTAAGGCCCAGAGAGGTCACAGCTATGTAGTGTGGGAGCCAGGATTCAAACCCAACAGCATGGTTCCCCGGCACAGCACCAGATCCCAAGCAGGTGGCCCCCCAGCACGCAGCCGTCCAGCCCCCTAGTCCTCCCTGGCCCCGGCACCTTTGCTCCTCTCCGCCCTCCTCCTGCTCCAGCCTCGCGCCTGAAGAGACTACTGAACTTGGCGTCAAGCAGCTGCCTCAAGTCAGTCGGGTCCTCTTAAACCAGAAACAATTTCCCCGTGCTCAGCCGGGCCTTCTGGCTTCCTGCCATCGCTTGCAGCCAGCTGCTCACAAATGAGTCCTGCGTCAGGGCCAAGGAACTGATGTTCATTAACAGGAAGCCTCAGGATGGTTAATTGGAGTTTATCTCCTGAGGTCCACACCTCGGAGTTGATAGACGATGTTCCTACCAGCCTCGGCACAGGGGGTGTTGGCTGTCAAGGCTGCACAGGGCCCTCACGCCCCCCTGCCCTCCCCTCCCACGGCCGACCTGCGGCCCTGCCCCCCGGGGGAGGGGGTGGGTAGGTCATATCCAAGCCTCTCCCTCCGCTGCTGCCACTGAAGGTCACAGAACCGAGTCAGACAAATGGGAGCTAAACCCCAGCTCTTAATCCCAGCACTTGGGGAGGTGGATGCAGGCGGATTACAAGTATAAGCCCTGCCTGGGGAATTTACCACTGAGACCCTGTCTCAAAATTAAACAATTTTTAAAAAAAGGCTGGGGCTGCAGCTCAGTGGAAAGGGTCTGGATTCAATCTCCAATACTGGAAAAAACAAAATAACTGTTTCAGCCCCTCTAATCTTGGACATGGTACTTAAACTTTCTGAGCCTCAGTTTCTCCATCTTTAAACGCTAAAGCAGATGACAAGTCTCAGGGCCAAGCGCAAAGTCTAAAACACAGCTGGGGAAGCCGGGCGTGGTGGCGCACACCTGTAATCCCTCGGGAGGCAGGAGGATCCTTGTGAGTTCGAGGCCAGCCTGGGCTACAAAGTGAGCTCAAGGCCAGCCTGAACTGCATAGCGAGACGCTGTCTCAAAAAGTAAAAACAAACAAAAAAAAACAACAAAAAACCCCCAAACAAACAAATGAAACACAGCAGGTACTCAGCACACCACCATCCTGGGGATACCCACACCCTGGGGACACCCCCACCATGTCACCGAGACCTCTGGGTCTCCACAAGTCCCAACCCAGCTCATCCTCTTCCCCTGCCTTACCCCTCGGCCATCCCCACTACCACCCCCAGTGGGCCTTGCCAAGTTTTGGCTATCACCGGGGACCCCTCTCTCCTCCTTGCCTTCAGCTGTCACCAAGTCCTGACCATCATGCCCCCCCCCAGCGCTGACCCACCTGTCCACGTCTCCCCACCGCACGTGTCCTGGACACCCCCATCTCTTCATTCTCACCCAGCTCCTGACAGGTCTCCCTGCCCTGGTTTCTTTGCTTCTGCCCCACACAGCCAAGCCAGCCTCAGCAGCCAGAGAGAGGCCCCCAGATCCTATCAAGTCACTGTTTTAAAACCTTCTAGTGGCTCCTCATCACCTTTAGGATGAAGCTTAGCCTCTGTTTCATGTGCAGAATTAGTCTTTCCCAATCGCCCAGCTTGCTGCAGGGGCTCTGCGCCCTGATGCCAGGCTGCCCTCCCTCCCTTCCCCGTCTGCGCTGGTGACTACCACTTCAGGGCTGGCTCAGGCGCTGGCTCCTCCAGGAAGGCCTTCCTGGTGGCACCTGCTGGGCTTAGAGTCCTCCGGCTCCGAAGTCCCTCTGCTTCTGTGTTTCTTGCCTCCAGGGAGCCCTGTACCTAGAAGGCACTCAGGCCTAAGAGATTTGCACAGTAGGAGGGCAAGGCAGAATTCAAACCCCCGTCCAACTAAGCAGTACTTCTCAGGCCTCCAGGCTGCCCCAGGCTCAGCTGTGACCTGGCAGGGGCCTCGGATCTGGTGGGTCCTCTTGGGTCCCGTAAGCAGCACCCAGGGCTCATTCAACCTTTGCTGCCGCCCCCATTGCCTGCCTTGGGCTCCACAGGACGTGCACCTCTCTCCTAACCAAATTATGACCATCTGCTCTTCCAGCATTTCATTAGCCCCCTGAAGCACAGCCAGGGGCCTCAGGAGCCAAGCCCGAGCCTGGCAGCAGGCATCCATCTTCTTGCTGCCTATGGCAAAAGAGAATGCTTTCCCAGCCCTGCTGCAGCCTCGCCGGCTTTCCTCCCTGGAGCTTGAGAGCAGACTCCCGGTCTCCTCCACTCCCGGTCTCTTCCACTCCTGGCCTCCGCACAGCAGGCTGCGGTGCTCCGAGCTGTACCCTCTCCTGGGAACCCTCAAGGGCACCTCTGCCACCCACCCATCCTGGTGGCCTCCCGTGCCTAACCCCACCCTGCTGCAGGTGCACAAGCCCACTCACTGCCCCTATCCCACTGGCCTGGCACAGGCTGGTGTGCACCTTTCTCCAGGAAAGTGCATGTTACATGTCACTTCTGGGATTCCTGCTCGGATGCCCAGAATGGCGGGAGCTTCCCCGCTGTGCCCTTTCAGATCCCTGTGGGTCCTTCTGTCCCAGACTCATTGTTCCTGTGGTGGCATAGCTGTCCTTTTTCTTTTTGGTGCCTGGGTCTAGTGGACTGAGTGTTCCCGGCAGGCATGAGCTCAGTCGGGCGTCTCTGTCTTGTCCCCAGGCCTAGCTTAGGGCAGCCTTGCACATGGTTTGAGGAGAAAGGAGAGAAGGGCAAGGCTGAGTCTTCCCTGCCCTGGCACCTGTCCACCTGTACCTGGTATCTTCTGTGTGCCTACCATGGGCCAGGCTACACTGTCTCCCGTTGATTAGGGCCTCTCTGTGGCTATGCTGGGCCAGAGACCTCAGAATGTCGGAAGCAGGAGGCCTCAGACTGCCACCCAGGAGCCTGGGCGGTGCAGCTGCCTGCCACCAGGTGAGCAGAGTCCCAGAGCCCCAGGCCGCTGTGGAGTGTTCCTTGTGGGTCCAACTGTGGCTCTGTCACTCCTTGGCCAGGGGATCTTGGCTGCCACCCATCCTGTGGCGAGGTCTTTCTGAGTTGGGCCCCCTGCCCATGCCCACACAGCAGCCCGGGTCAGGGGCTGGACTGACCACAGCCTGACGCAGCCCGGCGATGTTCTGTTCCATGCTTCTAGTTGGTGGGCACTCGCCACCTGCCACGCAATGAACTCTATCGCTCCCCTTCTACGTTTCCCTGGTGCTGCTGGGCTGCCCTTGAGATGTCCCTCGGGCTGCTTGGACCACAGCTGTGCCACTCATTTGCCTCTGAACTGTGGCCTTAGACCCCTACCTCAGAGCCTCAGCTTTCCCGTCTGAGAATGGAGATACTGTCCCTTGTCCTCCAGGGTTGGGGGAGGCACCGAAGAGGTATGCGGGGTAAGTGGAGGGGCAGCATTGCACCGTCTTTAGGAAACACTCCTGCTGCCGGGTCAGCCTTGGGTCAGCCAAGGGAACCTCAGGGGATGTGTGGGGGAAAAAGCACCAGGCCCTGAGCCTGTGCCCTTCCCTGAAAGCCCTTGCTCCACCATCTGGTCTCAGCCTCCTGCTGCCACTCTGACCCCTGGGCTGTGGCAGGTGGCTGGCAGTGGTGAGGACACCCCAGCAGCTGGGAGGTATCCCGGGGAGACATGGAGGCCACAGGGTTTCAGGCCTCAGTCCCAGAGCTAATACACATTATGGATGTGTAAGGGAGGAAGGTGTGCAGCTCGGAAACCACCCAGACTGATTTATTGGTTAATTAGTGGTTTCCCCGGCCACAGACTTCCCCAGCTGTGATGGGGGAGGGGGGGAGGGGACTGTAGGGCAGCTGGGGCACAGGGAGGCCAGCGAGGACCCGACCCAGGCTGGTGTCTCTCTGCAGCCAGGAGCACCAAGAACTGAAGGAACAATGCAAGGTGTTTGGACCGGGAGGTGGACACGGTGCTCGATGCCCAGGGAAGCCCAGCTGGCCCCAGCGCCTGGGAGCCATGCAAAACTTCCATAAGCCTGGGGACAGGGAGTGCACTGAGGTTTGCAGGTCAGCTAGTAGGTGTGGGGAGCTGGGGGGCTGCAGGCTTGAAAAAGTGAAACAGCAAGAACCAAGAAAAACTGCAGAAAACATGGGAACAGAGAAGAAGCCCCAGGGGTGGAAAAGAAAGGCCACTGTGTAAAAAAAAATTTGAATCCAACCTCTACTGAACACTGGCTATGTGATCGTACCTTGGACAAATCACTAAGCCTCTCTGGTCCTTGACGTCTACATTTGTAAAACGTGGCTGAACCTGCACTATTTGTATATTAACCCAGCACCTACAGTGAGAGTTTCTTAAACATGTACTGTAAGCTGCTAGTATTAAATCACATAGGCCAGAACTTGGACCAAGAAAGGGCCTGGTAACAGGCGGTGGAGGAGGCAGGGCCTGGAAGGTGCCCTCCAGGTGGATAGGGAGAAGGCTGCTCTCCTGCCAAGCTGGCTGTGGGCACACCCTGGGGCTGCATGCCTGGGGCACTGCGCCCAGCTGGGTGAATCCTTCTCACTGCTGCCCAGGGGGATCCGCTTGGCTGGAACTCGGACAAGGTGGGCCACCCTCTGAACGCTCTGTAGAGGGCTCCTTCTATGCCGGCCCCTGGCCCAGCGGCATCTGTCCGTGGGGAAGCGAACTGACGGACGAAGGACACAGCAGAACCCAGATGGGCAAGGTTTATTCAGGTCCTCGGGCAGGCCGGGCTCTCGGCGCCCCTCCGAGGGCCGTGGGCTCCCCCCGGGGCTCTGTGCCCCAGGCGCCACCTGCCGGCAGCACCCCGCGAGGCCCAGCGTCCCCGCGACGG